ATATTAATGTCAAAGGTAAAGTGTACACAGTACATTTTTCTGTTGTGAGTGATAAATGTGAATCACTGTTGGATGATAGGAGCTGTGTAGAGCTAGGGCTAGTCTCTCAAGCAGTGGAGAGACTGGAAAGGAGAGTTACAGTTTCTCTCTCAAGTCTGCTTCAGCCGTCCATACCTACCCAAGGGCACGGCTCCTGTCATAAACGAGAGAGAGCTTCACATCTCCTGTGATGACTCGGAGCTGGCAACGGAGAAGTAGCGTACCTCAGGATGGTCGACAGCGACGGCATACCACACCTGGTCTTCTTCATGGCACAATCCGGAATGGCCCCAAGATGTCTACAATCCATGCCGAGGAAACCGTCCATTTCCAACCAGTACCCACTGTAGCTGTGTGGAGTAAAAAATGAGCACTGAGAGTTGATATCCAAGGAAGAAAAGGTTTTATTTTACTCTGCAGAGGAGAACAACACGACCAGCTAAATGCAGCTCTCAGTGTTGATCTGAGGCTGCAGCATCTCAACCCCTCCATAAAAAAGGGGACTCCCTACACATTATCATTTTTCAAGAGAAATAATTTAGTTCATCAAAGGACAGAGATGACAATTGTTTTCTATTCACACCAGGACATGAGAATCCTGACATGTTTTCCCCTTATCTAACCTAGGGGGAAATTTCCTTTCAAACCTCCTTCCTTTCTTTTCATCTCTATAAGATTTCTAAGTAATCACTCCTATTCAGGAAAAAAGAAAAGACAGACTTTAACATCACCCACAAACAGGCCCAGGAAAAATACCATTCCACACCTGACTTTCATGCGATTAATGTTATTCCAGTTCATCTACCTCAGCACCTCATTGCTACTAATGATTATTATGGAGCTTATTATTATGGAGTGTGAATGTAGGAGTAACTCCACAAATAGCATTTGAGTTATTATATCTTTATTTCTGTTGTGTTTAGGATCACGCAGATGCATTGTTACAGATCCAAACCCATGTATGATACCACTTGAAGTTAGTACAAGAAAGTCAAGTTTAAATCAACCCGTCTGGCATCCTCCTGTCTGACCTAATCCCCATTCAACATCCTTCTGGACTTAAGTCATGCTCTGGCCAGCACTCCTCTAGATTGTGTCAGATGGAAAACTGAATGGTGCAACCTAATAATTCATACAGTCCAACCACCTGCTATCTCCCCTACACTTTGTACAAGATGTGATTTTTCTTTGAAGGAAGTATTGTTGACGGCTCTTACTAAGCCTCCTCTCGCAGGTCCTCATCTTCCCCACCATGTCTCGCAGCCTCTGCCACAGGGCTTCGCTCTCCTTCTGGCTCCTCTGGAGCTCCACGTCCATCTGAGCGCGCAGAGACACATAACCAGCCTCAGCCAGTTTGCAGATCTCCACCACTGCAGAATTGGCCAGAGGCTCGATAACCGAGGCGATCTGTGCCTGGAAACCCAGACAGTCCTCCATCATCCATCCGGAGGGACGGACTCCTGCAGGAACTCCAGGTTCCTGGCTTTAACTGATAACCAAGCAGTTGCGCATGCACATAGAGCAGGCATCCCCAATCTCAGTCCTCGAGGGCCGCTGTCCTGCAGGTTTTAGAGGTTTCTCTGCTCCAGCACAGCTGATTTTAATTGAAAGCTGCTTAACAGGCTTTTGGTCTACTGCAATCATTATAATCAGCTGTGCTAAAGCAGAGAAACCTCTAAAACCTGCCCTCGAGGACCGAGATTGGGGATGCCTGACATAGAGCATTCCCTCATCTGAGAGCCTACAAAACAACTTCAAATCCATTACAGAGCAAGTTTAGATATTATAGGTGAAATCTAGGTAGTTTCTCTTTAGTTCTAGATCTACAGCTTAGGGAGAAACATTTAACTGGTTAAAGGGTGAATTGAGTTTATTTTTTCATTTAGTCCCTCCACCAGAGAAAACAGCTCTTTGATCTCAGCCTTGGTTTAGTTTGGAGTGTGACTGTTTGAGGCTGTGGACAGGTGTCTATTATACAGGTAATGGGTTCAAACAGGTGCCAATAATACAGGAAATAATTTGAGGAGAGAAGTTACTGGTCTGTGAGAGCCAGAAATCCTGCTGGTTTGTGGGTGAACAAATAATTATTTACCACCATAATTTACAAATAAACTCTTTAAAAATCCTACAATGTGATTTCCTGGATTTATCTGTCTCCCTTTGTCTTTCACAGTTGAAGTGTACCAAGGATGAAAATTACAGACCTCTCTCATTATTTTAAGTAGCAGAATTTGCACAGGCAGGCAGGCGCTCAATATAAGAGCGCCTGCCTTAAAATTTTGTAATTACTGTATATATCAGCCAAATAAACCAGACACAGATATAATTAAAATCACTTTGATATAAATAATTCAAGTCATTAAATGATATTTTAAGTGCTTAAAATCAGTACTGTGTTTAAAATGTAATCTGTAATCTTTAGACCAACATGGGTCTCATGTAGCATCAAGCTGGTATATTTTATTTTTCCATCCTGTGTTCTCCTTTAGATTCCATAATTTTGTGTAAACAAGAGTTCTTGTGATTAGTTGAAGGATTGGAGAAAATGTTCAGAGGATCTTTATTCTCTGTGAGAATGAACTCATCTTTGGATGATTTTAATCTATTGGAGATCTTCATCATGTTTCTCCATATAACTGACTGAGGAACAAATGCTGCCAATCCCAGAGCTGATCTCAGACTGTCTCACTCTCTTAGCCAGCCATTCAGCAACGTTGTTATGAGCTCGTCGCTTCCTAATCTCTGAAATGCTCCCATTTTCTGAGGAAACATCTCCGCTCACTGAAACAGAAGAAAAAAAAAATACAGATGGAGCCAAGAGTTTGTAGAAACTCAGTGGTTAAATCATAATTTTAAACTTACTGTGTGGAATTAGAAATTCATCCTTGCTCCCTGCCACCTCCACAGAGGGCACTGTTGGTTTCTCTGGTTCCTTTGCTAAAGCTTTCATCATTCTGTCCATCAGCTCCTGCTCCCGTCTGTTCCACTCCTCTTCCATCAGCATCCGTTGTTTTCCTTGCCGAGGTAGAAACTGAAATTTCTTTCTTTTTACTTCAGTCGTGAAGCATCCTTTGTTCTGTTTTACCATGTTGATAATTTTTTGGAACAGCTCTTTGACTTGAATAGGATCATTATAATCTAAGCTGCTGAGAACATGGTATCTGTTCCCACACTTCTCCAGAAGCTCCTGGAGCTCCTTGCCCTCTCTGACGATGTAGTTCTCTACAGGGAGG